ATATGTTCTAGGTGTTAGCACATATGTTCTAGGTGTTAGCATATATGTTCTAGGTGTTAGCATATATGTATGTTACATCCGTGTCACTCTTCATGTTTCCAGGACAAGAACAACAATCAACAATACGAGCGAAGCACCAAGTCTCTGTTCTTCCCGAGCGTGAGTATCTTTGCTTATTGTCTGATCGGACGTTTGATGACGTCACGGTACAACAGTGGGCGGGGCTCAGATTTGCTCCTTTAACCACCTGACTCTGAAGGTTTGTTTACCCAGAATGCCGAGCTCCTGAGCAGCCTGGAGTCCGCATCTGTTCGGATCTTCAAACCTCCGACCTTCCCCAGCGCCGCCCTTCGTTTCCAACCGTGCAGCCCCCAGCAGACCAGCACCCCCCCGGGCTCCGACCACACCCCCCCTCATCTGGACAGTCCCCGCATGGCGACCATCCAGGAGGACCCCAGCTGCGACTCCCACCTGGACCAGGACGCCCTGGAGGCGTTCGGGCGCTCGGCGCAGCGCTCGTTCGAGGACCTGACAGAGAAGAGCGAGATGAGTCGCAGTGCGAAGATGCTGCTGTTCAGACTGCAGAGACAACATCAGATCGACACCAAGGAGACGCAGTGCTGAACTTCCTGTCCCACGTCTCACAGCTTTGTGTCTCACAGCTTTGTGTCTCACATCTGATCACAGGTTTGATGTAAGAGCTTATTTTAAACGTCTTAACTAAGAAAAAACCTCCGTTTTCAAATCGATGCCTCGTCGTCTCTCGGCTGGAATGTCCACCTCAGGATCGTCTTCTTATCACAACGTAAACTTTGACTGTGTCTCAGAGACAAAGCTTCAGCTACATGTGACTCAGCGACACTTTGAGTTGTTCAGTGATGACGTCAAACGTCCCTGGTTCTCTCAGAACGACCTGTAAAAACTTCTCAGCGCCAAATTTAGATGTTGCACTAAATCTCAGGTATCGGTTCAGCTGACGTCCGAAAATTCCTGTAAAAAGGAAACTGATCTTTAAAATACCAAATATTAAACCTTCACGTATTAAAAGTTATTTCTAACAGATTTGGTGACTTCATCTTCTCAACATGATTATTCTGCTGCTCGTCGTCGTCTCAGCGTTAAAGTTCAAGTGGAAAATGTTGGACGAGTGAAGACGTTTGTTACTGATTCATTATCGAAAACGTTGATAAAATATTCAGGAGTGGAACTGATTGTGAAAATCCTCAGTTTCAGCTCTGAGAGGTCAAAGTGCATCAGTGACTGATTTCAGTGTTTTTAACGTGGCTGAAACAGGTTCATCAGTAAATCACCTGTTTTGAGTTTATGTGAAAAAAGAAACTTGGACCACGTTTCGTTACATTTGTTTGAATCTTAAATATTTTGTGTTTGACTTATTTGTGTTGTTGTCACGTCTCTTGTTAAACTGATTTTTTTCTTGTTTCCGTTTTGAGCGTCTCTCTGGGAGTTGAACGCCGACAGTGTTAGTGCCTTGCTCAACCTACTCTACTACAGAAGACTCGAGGTAAATGGATAGAGATACAGATATAGAATTAACTCAGACGGTGGATCATTGATTCATCAGCAGTTATTTTTCTCATCACTAAACTTTTT